CTATTGTACATATTAATTATTCATTTAAAAAAATTAATTTGCATGTGTATTAGTATTTTCAACCATATTAATTTTAATTTAAACATTTGCGTTTATATATATATTTGATTTATGATAAATTATTTTAAAATGTATATACATGGGTCTTGATATAGGTTTTTACAAAATAATTTTCTTTGAGGACTAAAATCTCCTGTATAAAGAATGTACAATCTATTTTACATTTTATTTAAAAGATATTACTTAAAATTATTAAATATATTTATATACGTTAACTTTAACATAATTTATATAGTTAATTAGCAATTTAATCAATTGACACCTTATAAAATCTATTGTACATATTAATTATTCTTTTAAAAAAATTAATTTGCATGTGTATTAATATTTTCAAATATACTTATTTTAATTTAAACATTTGCGTTTATATATATATTTGATTTATGATAAATTATTTTAATATGTATATACATGGGTCTTGATATAAGTTTTTACAAAATAATTTTCTTTGAGGACTAAGCTCTCCTGTATAAAGAATGTACAATCTATTTTACAGTTTATTTAAAAGATATTACTTAAAATTATTAAATATATTTATATACGTTAACTTTAACATAATTTATATAGTTAATTAGCAATTTAATCAATTGACAACTTATAAAATCTATTGTACATATTAATTATTCATTTAAAAAAATTAATTTGCATGTGTATTAGTATTTTCAACCATATTAATTTTAATTTAAACATTTGCGTTTATATATATATTTGATTTATGATAAATTATTTTAATATGTATATACATGGGTCTTGATATAGGTTTTTACAAAATAATTTTCTTTGAGGACTAAAATCTCCTGTATAAAGAATGTACAATCTATTTTACATTTTATTTAAAAGATATTACTTAAAATTATTAAATATATTTATATACGTTAACTTTAACATAATTTATATAGTTAATTAGCAATTTAATCAATTGACAACTTATAAAATCTATTGTACATATTAATTATTCATTTAAAAAAATTAATTTGCATGTGTATTAGTATTTTCAACCATATTAATTTTAATTTAAACATTTGCGTTTGTATATATATTTGATTTATGATAAATTATTTTAATATGTATATACATGGGTCTTGATATAGGTTTTTACAAAATAATTTTCTTTGAGGACTAAGATCTCCTGTATAAAGAATGTACAATCTATTTTACATTTTATTTAAAAGATATTACTTAAAATTATTAAATATATTTATATACGTTAACTTTAACATAATTTATATAGTTAATTAGCAATTTAATCAATTGACAACTTATAAAATCTATTGTACATATTAATTATATATTTAAAAAAATTAATTTGCATGTGTATTAATATTTTCAAATATACTTATTTTAATTTAAACATTTGCGTTTATATATATATTTTATTTATGATAAATTATTTTAAAATGTATATACATGGGTCTTGATATAGGTTTTTACAAAATAATTTTTTTTGAGGACTAAAATCTCCTGTATAAGGAATGTACAATCTATTTTACATTTTATTTAAAAGATATTACTTAAAATTATTAAATATATTTATATACGTTAACTTTAACATAATTTATATAGTTAATTAGCAATTTAATCAATTGACAACTTATAAAATCTATTGTACATATTAATTATTCATTTAAAAAAATTAATTTGCATGTGTATTAGTATTTTCAACCATATTAATTTTAATTTAAACATTTGCGTTTATATATATATTTGATTTATGATAAATTATTTTAATATGTATATACATGGGTCTTGATATAGGTTTTTACAAAATAATTTTTTTGAGGACTAAAATCTCCTGTATAAAGAATGTACAATCTATTTTACATTTTATTTAAAAGATATTACTTAAAATTATTAAATATATTTATATACGTTAACTTTAACATAATTTATATAGTTAATTAGCAATTTAATCAATTGACAACTTATAAAATCTATTGTACATATTAATTATTCATTTAAAAAAATTAATTTGCATGTGTATTAGTATTTTCAACTATATTAATTTTAATTTAAACATTTGCGTTTATATATATATTTGATTTATGATAAATTATTTTAAAATGTATATACATGGGTCTTGATATAGGTTTTTACAAAATAATTTTCTTTGAGGACTAAAATCTCCTGTATAAAGAATGTACAATCTATTTTACATTTTATTTAAAAGATATTACTTAAAATTATTAAATATATTTATATACGTTAACTTTAACATAATTTATATAGTTAATTAGCAATTTAATCAATTGACAACTTATAAAATCTATTGTACATATTAATTATATATTTAAAAAAATTAATTTGCATGTGTATTAATATTTTCAAATATATTTATTTTAATTTAAACATTTGCGTTTATATATATATTTTATTTATGATAAATTATTTTAAAATGTATATACATGGGTCTTGATATAGGTTTTTACAAAATAATTTTCTTTGAGGACTAAAATCTCCTGTATAAGGAATGTACAATCTATTTTACATTTTATTTAAAAGATATTACTTAAAATTATTAAATATATTTATATACGTTAACTTTAACATAATTTATATAGTTAATTAGCAATTTAATCAATTGACACCTTATAAAATCTATTGTACATATTAATTATTCATTTAAAAAAATTAATTTGCATGTGTATTAGTATTTTCAATCATATTAATTTTAATTTAAACATTTGCGTTTGTATATATATTTGATTTATGATAAATTATTTTAATATGTATATACATGGGTCTTGATATAGGTTTTTACAAAATAATTTTTTTTGAGGACTAAAATCTCCTGTATAAGGAATGTACAATCTATTTTACATTTTATTTAAAAGATATTACTTAAAATTATTAAGATATTACTTAAAATTATTAAATATATTGTATATACGTTAACTTTAACATAATATATATAGTTAATTAGCAATTTAATCAATTGACACCTTATAAAATCTATTGTACATATTAATTATTCATTTAAAAAAATTAATTTGCATGTGTATTAGTATTTTCAATCATATTAATTTTAATTTAAACATTTGCGTTTGTATATATATTTGATTTATGATAAATTATTTTAATATGTATATACATGGGTCTTGATATAGGTTTTTACAAAATAATTTTTTTTGAGGACTAAAATCTCCTGTATAAGGAATGTACAATCTATTTTACATTTTATTTAAAAGATATTACTTAAAATTATTAAATATATTTATATACGTTAACTTTAACATAATTTATATAGTTAATTAGCAATTTAATCAATTGACAACTTATAAAATCTATTGTACATATTAATTATTCATTTAAAAAAATTAATTTGCTTGTGTATTAATATTTTCAAATATACTTATTTTAATTTAAACATTTGCGTTTATATATATATTTGATTTATGATAAATTATTTTAATATGTATATACATGGGTCTTGATATAGATTTTTACAAAATAATTTTTTTTGAGGACTAAAATCTCCTGTATAAAGAATGTACAATCTATTTTACATTTTATTTAAATAACATATAACAATGTATAAAAATTATTATTATTACAAATAATATATCAAAATTTTATATTTAATTTGTATGTAATATGTAATATAATATATTAAATAAAATGTATAATACATTATATAACATATTATATAATCTTTTATATAAAGGATTACATAAAATATTATGTAAATAAACATTAAAATATTAAATAAAAATTTGTACAAGAATAACATAATATTAATATAAAATAAAGATGTCATATTAAAATATATAAAAAATTTATTTAAAATACCAAATAATATATATATTTGCCTTGATCAACTAATACATCGTTCATTTATTAGGTGACATTATGTTGACACGAGATCAAAGTTTCAATATTAATATATATATTTTACATATGTTGTTTAAATTAATACTTATATTAAAAATTTAATTACTTAATTTAGTTATTATGTAGAGATAAGAATGTCATAGCTTATGTGTTTTTTATAAACGTTTTTCAATATATGTACAGTAAAAGCTCTTCTAATGAATACCCCTCGTCTTAAGTAAACAATTCTACTAAAATCAAATTTTTTTTTCAATATTTCTGACTATTTAATTGTTTTTGGCCAGAAATTTCCTTAAAACGAACAAATATTTGTTGAAGATTAGTGCTCTTCCATGAAGGTTTTTACTATACAAAAGAATTTAATAATAATTAAAAAAAAGAAAAGAAATGTGAATGCTTTACGGAATTAACTAATGTAATTACTTAATTTAATATAATTACATTTTACATAATATTTTATAATAATTATTATAATTGTAATTTTTATATAAATACTTAAAATATTTAATTTAAATTTTCAGTTATTTTGTAAAAATTTTTTCAATATCTTAATATATCATATTTACTTAACATTTAGAATTATACTGTAAAATAATATTTGAACAAATTATAAATGTCTATTTGATATATATGGACATCGATATAGGTTTTCACAAAATATTTTTTTTATGTGGACTAAAATCTCCTGTGTATGGTCGTAACTTTTTATTTTACATTTAATTATAAGGATAGTACTTAAAATAAATAAATATATTTTATATACGTTAATGAATGCATAATTAATGTAGATAATTAACAATTTAATCAATGTACAACTTATAAAATCTATTGTACATATTAATTGTTCATTTAAAAAAATTAATTTAATCAAAATTATTAATTAAAAATTAATTAATTACATGTGTATTAGTATTTTAAAATATATTTATTTTAATTTAAGCGTTTGCTTTTTAAAATCCTTAATTGTGCATTATGTTTGATTCATCTTTACATTAATATATATAAGTTATTATTCTATATGAGTTTTTGATTTATTTGTAGATATAAAATGTAAATTCAAAATTTAATTTATTATTAAATTTAAGAAATTTTTTTAGAAAATATTTTGTCGAATCAAAAACTTCACGTCTGATATAATAAATTATAACAATTATCGCCTGTTTATGTGTTTATAGTTGGTTTGCGTTTGCTTACCCTGATAATTAACCTTCCCAAGAGTAGTGCGGAGTTAGTTTTTATCATTTAAAGGTGAATACAAACTGCATTAAAACAGAGAGGGAAAATTATTTATTTGCCAGAGATAAATTAAATTCAGTTGTCACGAAAGGAATTATTAACTATTCCAAATCTATGTAAATGCAGCATTCAAGGGTTTTTCTAAAATTAGAGAACAAAATAATTATAAAATATATAATTTATGAATAATTGGAAATAACTAAAATAAAATGTATCAATAATTCAACTATTTCTGGATTGTCGTGCAGTAACAACTGAGCTCAGTAAATAGTCACGGGTTGAACACTAACTTGTTACTTCAAGTAGGTCGGACTACCCGTAATAGTTTTCAGTTTCATTATTTATTACGTCACCCATCTATTGTCATATCCCAGAGAAATATTAACTTGAGCCGTATTGATTTATGGTTGCGTTCTATTAAAGTAACAAGGTTTATCACTTGAACTCAAATTAATGCTAATAACACGGTACCCACTCCCTTACTTATTTCCACATTACAGGATCAAGTTTATAATGCTTTTCGTGTCTGCAACAGATTCTTTTACCCAAGCTTTCATCACAACACGTTGCCAAATAAAATCTTATCCTACAAAGAACAAATTCCTCGGGACTTCAAAAACTCATTAACAGAAATAAATCTTATTACATGATATTCTAGAATTAACAATTACAAACACATATTTCATATAAATTCTATAACCACACTTCGTCATATGGAAGGTACACAAAGCTGATACGCAATGCTGACATGTAATCCTGACTCTAATAAGCGTTCACGCAGCACAATGTTCTTGTTCAGCACAACCGAAACAACTTAGTTGTTTAGTCCATCACTAACCAAAACGAGTAGCTACTCCAGGTCGCAGAAGTGACCGTGTCTACCTCCTGTAACCGCTCGTTTATAACAACGACTAAGCGCAGCTATTCACTCCCGACAGCTGTTATATCGCCTATACCAACAACCAGTAACAACTCCGAGCTTTTCAGCTTGGGATACATAAAAATATTTTGTACTTATACCAATCATACTACTAATATCAAGTTTTACGGATCTATATAAACCATTAAAAAAAACTATTAATTTATTCCTTCATCATAAATAAAGAACACGTATTTTTAATATAAATACTGTTCTTTGCGGGAATACAGCTATAATAGAAGGAGAAGCCGGGCCTACGCCCTAGAACTGTTCGTATTTCTAGACACTCAAAGTGCGCCTGTTCCTTCCAAAAGAGACTTAAATAGCTTGGTTCTAACTATTTTTAAAAGCATTAAACCGACATTTAGTACAGTACACATGCTCTAAGAGCGACCAGAAATACGCCCAAGAGCCAATTGGTTTTCCAAACGATCAAGTGCAACGCGGCCATTAACCACTGCTTACAACAACAATAGCAACAAAGTGCAACAATTAGTTCTGTAACGAAATACACGAAGTTATCTTCCAGTGCACACATTCTTTATTTCAACTATAAATGAGACGGCTATATTGCAATATAGGCGCAGTCTTATTACCACTATATACCCAACAAAGCCCCTACTTAATTTTATAAATGTAGATGATATATTTTATGTAATTATTATTTATCATATACTATAATAATAAAGTCTGTTAATATTGATATTTATACAATTAATATTGATATATCTATAGATATGCTCACCTGAAGTAGCAAAACTCTTCAATTTCATCACAAGTTTGTTACTCTCTTTTTCAAAGTCCTTCACATTTACTTTATTTTTACTTTATACACACGATAATATCTTCTACATAGTAACAATACATACTCCCTTGTTTTAGCCAAGAATGTTACTGAATAAGTTACTAAAAGTCGAATGGTTCCAATAACTTATTGGAACATATACATATATCATATATGTTATAATATACTACAGTATGTTTTCTATACATATGCAGTAATCACTTTGTTTAAAAAACGCTCTTATAAACGGATATTTCTCTTAACTCCACACTGTTCTTATTTACACTATTAATTCTTCACACAACGGACGTTCTTTTGAACCCATAGTTTTCTTAAACACATAATTGCTAGTCTCATTGGTGTCAATTTAAGTGTTTTAACTGTACATATTCAGTAATTCTCTCTGACCAAAAGATTCCAATCAGATTTTCTTGTGTTTGTTGTTGAGGCACATAACATAAAATGAGTCACAGAAATGACTCATAGTTCACACTGAACTAAGTATTTTTAATCGTTCCAAAACAACTATTATCTACACACCTGCAAATATATAAAACAAAGTTATTACGAAGAGATTATACATACACAAATAATACTGGTACTTACACATATATATGCACTAATAAACCAATATTTACACAGGTTGGCACGCATTTCAAAATATTTTGGATCTTTTGGAGTGCCGAAACATCTATCTTGCACAACGCCAAAATATTACTTAGTGGTCGTGTTTCTGTTTATCATTGTTTCGGAACTAAAATAATTTCAGGATGAAAGTCTCTACCCTTTGTTAGTATAGAGTCTATATACTCAGACAACACTTCGCCAGCACTTAGATATACGATTTAATGGAACACTGACCTTGAACCAATGCTGTATTTGTCTGAGCAACGAATTTATAAACTCAGTACATTTGAGTCGAACATGCGTACAGTACAGTATCCCATATATTGGTTACTAATCAAATTAAAGTCGACTGATCTTGTACTTCTATTGTGTCAAAGTATTTGCCTGGTTCCGCCGGGCGAATAAGCTCCCTGCGTGTATTTGCTAATATTTCGAACGATGCGAAGTTATTGCTTTAGCTCGCACATTTACTTTGTTTATAAAAACAATTTCGCAATAAAAACGATAATTTTTAAGTAGAATTTTCCGATTTGAAAATATTTGACCAAAAACTTAAAGCCGGCACACGCACGCAAGTCTTGACATTTGATGCTATAGCGCCCGAATAATTTTAGGTATAACAAAGGTTCTTATACTGCTTTGCTTTCCTTGTATTGCTTTCCTTGTCTTGCTTTCCTTGCTTTGCTTCCAATACGAAAGAGAGGAGGCTATAACATTCGTTCCAACTATGAACTTTTGTGGTATATAACGGATACTTATTCCGACATGTTGCCAAGTTTCGCTTTTAATAATACAATTTCACTAAATATGGTACCTCCAATAATTTTGGTTGTACAACTACCAACGACTACGACTATATATAACATATTGTACACGAGAATAATAACGTCTCCGATTGATACATCTGGATTGCATCTAAATTTATATTTAATCTGTCATATTTTGTTGTCTAATCCCACACTTTTAAAGTAGGCTAACATTTTTGTAGAACTGTTAGTAGATATTTATATTTTGCATAACTACATATTTTGTATATCGAAGTAAGACACATTTTTTTATCAAGTCATATAAAACAGCTGTTAATTTCAGGGTGATCCTGCTATTTGGCCACAATATGTAGAGTGTTATAAATTAATCTTCAGTGTTATAAATGAATCTCAATTGTTATAAATTAATCTCGAATGTTATATATTAATCTCGTGTGTTATACATTTCGCTCGAGATTTATCAATCTGAAATGAAAATTGCATTTAAAGTAAATGTCGATTTAAAATGTTATGTCATTTCATTTACATACATATTTCATGCCAAGTTCATACAGATGGGATTCAATAATTCTAAGAGTAAACATAAAACTGAAATCGATAATATGAAAAGTATAGTATAAGTATAGTTCATTCAAATGTTTCCTTCCATAAGTCCTTTGAATTCATTAAAAGTCTAAGCATACGGAGTAAAAACTAAAACTATGTACAATAATCTATTTTTGTTGCACTATATCAGGGCTGTCCACACCAGATGCGCTCCCGGGCCAATACCATTCACTGTACCGCCAAAACAAATACTTACGTTCGTAGTTTTCGACAAAAATATAATCACGGTTATAATATTAAATTTAATTTGATTAATTTATCAATTTAAATTCATTCACTTGGTATACCTTAAAAATAAAATAATATGATTTTACCAACACACCAAATGAAAATTCGCGTAATTGTACTAGATTAACATAAAAATATGTTGCAGTCTGCACAAACATTAGTTGTGAGCCGCATGTGGCCCGATGGCCGTTCTTTGGACAGCCCTGCACTACATTATTATCTCTTATATGACTTTAACACTGGCCTCAAATGACTGTTTTGGGTCAAAAATCACAATCACAAATGGGAAGCGAGTGACTGTCTTCTACATACAAAATGTCATATACGCAAATGAGTTCCATTTGCTGATTTTGTACAATTGAGTTCCAAAGAGTTTTAAATGAGTTTAAATGAGTTTCAAACGAGTTCCAAATGCATATGTATATATTGAACATACCCTAAATAAAAGCTTTGCATGGCATTTTGACAGTTTGAGAAAGCGGTTTGCGATATATTTACAAAAAATAGGAAGACAAATATTTGATGGTTGTATTTCCTTGAAAACGATGCACCTCTTTTTGGAACTTTTACTTCCCAAAACGTACTTAATCGAAGCTTAAAATAAATTTTCAGTTTATATTAGAAGGTTTGAAGATATATTTTACTTTCATCCAACATCTTTTTGGCACAGGCCTAAAATCAAATCAATAGACACGTTGACAAGTCAGCTGTTTGGAATGAGAACAAATGACATACAACGAATGTGAACACTTTCAAATGACTCATTTGAAATGAGTCATTTGGGGCCATTGTAAATGCCATATTAGACTTATCGAACTTCCTTAATTTAAGTACAATAGTCGAAACATAACATTATTAATTTTATTCAATTTCTTGTAATAGAATATACAATTAAGTAAAAACCACTCTTATACGGCGTTTACATTGGCCGAAAATGGCTCATTTTGAATGACTCATTTGAAAGTGTTTACATTCGTTGTATTTCATTCGTTGTCATGGTAACAATTCAAACTGAAATAAAAACTAAACATTTGTTTATCTTTTTTTGTAAATATGTCAAAACAGCTTTTACAAACTGTCAAAATGCCATGAAGAGCTTTCATTTAGGGTATGTTCAATAGATTCCTTTGCATTTGGAACATATGTGGAATGCATTCGAACGTCATTCATACAGAATGTGAGAAAATTGCTCATTTTGTGCTTGAAATTTTATATGCAAGAATGAGCCATTCGATACTCATTTTCGATTTTTGACCAAAATGAGCCATTTTCGGCCAATGTAAACGCCGTATTACTATCATAATTTCACATAAAATTTTTCCTGTGCGTTATTAATTATTTCAGTTGATAGAAAAAAATATATAAACGCTTAAAACTTAATTAAGAATTATTTGTGTGACAGCGATTTCGTCCTTTGTATGTAGTATGCTTTGTCATTTCTTCATTAATGTATATCCTTATTTATTATTTACTCAAAAAAAATCTTAAGTTCCGTGCGCTATAATTTTTTTGAATTTTAAAAGGATTTTAATATTAAATTTCTAGCACTTGACCGAGCTAATTAACTACATAGTTACATAGTGCACTTGTGATTATTTGTTGTTAATTAACTCTATTATCTGTAAAAGGCTACTTAGCAACTTTAAGACGAAATCCTCTTCAACATTTATGCACAAAAATGTAGAATAATTCCAGATGTTACTCACGAAAAATGTAAAATGAAGTATTTTAAAATCACGTACAACTCAAGTTTTTTATATGTATTTTGAGGAGCTTTATTATATACTATGTATATTACTTATATACATATATATAAATAATATATATATATATATATATATATATATATTAATATATACTTATATCCATGTAAGAAGTATACATGTACAACTGCACATATTGATTTCTTAAGATGGTAACTGCATATTACTTGTTGTACAATGTGACATTAAAACTATTGCAGCAAATTCGGTCAGTCATATGAGACAATGAGTATGCGGTACGAATTTAGAATTATTTGTTTATTGAATAAAAAAACTTGAAAAAATCAAAAATCATTTTATGTTTAACAGTAACATATCGTGCAACAATGAAATATTATTTCATATTATTTTTTAAAAAAATTTATTATAATGTTGAAGCTATTTGAACCAGTGCACTTGAGCACTTTTACTCTCCTTTAACTGCAACGTATCTTCAAAACCCCTCATTACGCCTTGACTGGATTATTGTTTTTCACTTCATCAGACTAAGCAATAATTGACCTTAGATCTGCATACCTCCCCGAGGAGCTTGCAACCATTCTGAGATTCGATAACGCGTTATTGGCAAGTCTGTCAGTTTTCGTAAATAATTTCAGGGCTCTAGCTTTTGATCGGATCAATCTTGAGGTCCCTGAGTATGTCATTCGACCTAATGTGTCATGGTACGAAAAGTTTTCTCAGAGCCTGGATTTGTGCAATTTCTAGCTGGCGAATAGTAGTGTTTGAGGATTTTCTAAACGCTACTATATCAGCTTCCTGCTCTTAGCATTTATGCAAAGCCAATTTTAATATAAAGGAATTGGTATAGTATATATATATATATAACAATTTCTGATGTGATGAACTTTTTGACTGAATTGATTGATTTTTTTAATTTTCTTATTTACTTTTTAATTATTTTCAAATTTTTTAATTAAAAAACTTTTTTTATAATGCTATGCTTGTAATGTATATAGAGCAATTTAATTATGAGTTTGTGATATTAATTACTTAATTTTTTGGAAGAAATGTGTACTTTAATCTATAAACGGCGCCACCATCACATTTTTGGGAACAGTTTTAACGTGATAATCTTTCTTATAAGTTTTTGACAAGAAATATGACATTTCTTTTCGCGCTATTTTGCAAAAGTAAAGTTGAGAGAAAAAATCACTTAAAACAGATTTTATAGTAGGTCTGTTCCACGAGCTACTCGTAGTAAAACTCAAGTAAAACACAAGTAAAAATTACACGAAAATACACGAAAATTTGCTGCTGGAATGTATTTGTGTATACACAGTCTTACTCAAAGTTACTACGAGTAGCTCATGAAACAGACCTAGTGCAAACATCACACAATAAAAAACACGAGAATTGCAAAAGATCTAGATCAAGTTTCGGAAATTTTCGGAAACGTTTATAATGGTAATATTGGCGACTTTTCAAATAATTTAAATATGTAGATTCAAAGTAACCTAACCGACATTTTTTCGAACTTGCCGAAAAAAAAAACAAAAAAGTTTTTCTCAAACTATTTTCGGCAACAAAAATGAATTTGAGTTCGAATATTCAAAACCCGCCAGTATAAAAACTAAGTCTAATGTTGAGCCTTTTCGGTGTTAGCGCATCTGGGCACTTTGACTCTCTGATAGCTGGGGGGTTTCTGTAGAGTCCCACCCTTCACAATGACTAACTTGTGTATTCCTCGTAAGCTTCGTGATTATTCAATGCCTGATCTAAGATCTCCGTGCCGCGCCGTCCGGTAAGATTAATTTAGTATGCTTGTTCAGATACTACCATAAACCATAAAAGCAAAAGAAAGTACATAGTGTATAAAGTATTCAAATGCGTTTGTGAACAGTGGTAAATGCTGCTCTCAAGACGACTGTAGCGAACACAGGATGTAGCAACATTTGTTGCAGGAGCAAAGATTAGTTCAGCAGCAGCAAAAATAAGAACCATGTTGGTAGCAGGAGCGACAACAGCAAGAACAGAACGAGCAACAATATTCATGCATGTGGCAAAAGTCATCGTATTCGTACTGAATTGTAATGCGGCACTTCCATGTTCGGTATTAATATTACAGTTGTAGTCATTCCATTTTGGATATTAGCCCTCGTCTTTGCTGCTCTTTTTGTATTTATCGCGTTCGAACTGCTTTTGGTCCTAATGCAGCTGTTACAATTTCAGCTTTTCATGCTTCATGTGTCAATTTTGCGATTTATATATTCATATTATTTTTTTTTCAGTGTTCTGCCATGTCATATCTGATTTTTATTTAAAAAGTTTTTAAATTTAGGTTGAGCCACTTTAATGCTATAAGAAGAAAAAATAATGTATCTAGAGAATTAATCACATTTTATCACGTTTACACTATCGCAATTAACTAGACAAATGTTCAGCAATTAAAATCAAGCCTAATCCAATCAAATATATGCTAATAGAGGTTTAAAAATTTTTGGTGTAAATGTGGTATTGTTGTTTTTTTATTACGTTTAAGTGAAATTATCTATTTAATAGTGTTTTAACCTATACCTTAGGTATATTTGCAATCTAGTGGCAGTAATCCTTATTATCGATTTAAATTCTTAATAAAATACTTGTTAGATTTGTTTACACAATAGCTTTTATTGTCACAATAATTTTTTTACTAGAAAGTTCTGACGCATTAGATACAAAAATATTTTAGCGAAAATATGGTACAATTTTTTGAAACTGAAAGTATATCAGCTACTATAACTGAACTCAACGAATCTCTAAATCACTGATTTCATACTGCATTATAAGATATATGATCTGGTTATAACATAAATAATAAAATGTGTACTTCATCATTGTAGTCTAGAAACAGTGAGAGAATTTATAGAACTGTACAGCTGATAGTATTAAATTGATATTAAATCTGATTCAAAATTCTTAATAATCATTTTCTTTGGTCACAACAGTGTTATACTACGTTTCCACTGCTTACTTAGTAAGTTACTTAGTAACATTGAGCATTTTGTCGTTTACATTATCACAAGTTACTTAAGGATTGACAAAAAGCTTTTATGTGTCAAAAATTTCTTGGTTGTAGAGCTTTTCTTCGTTAACATTTCGAATTGTACACAGGTGACCTTAAATTATGTATGGTTAGAAAAAAACAATTTAACATGAATAACGCAGATTATTTACATAATTTATTTCATGATGTTTGTTATATTGTTCTTATATTGTTCTGTTGCATATAGAAAAGAACTTGCAATGATTTATAAAAAAACACAAATTATTTAATTTTCAGTAAGTTTTATTTCAACTAACAATGACACTAACTTATATATTAAAAATAAAATGCGCTAAAACTATATTGCTAATAAACAGAGATTTAAAAAATTATAAATAAAAAAAAAATATATTGACTAGTCGCTAGTCATTACGTCCGTTCCGGTCCTATCGTCCAGATCCTCTTTCCATTGATTAGTCTATAAACTCTCTCTCTAGCATCTTTTCATCAACCGTGTTTCCTTTATTTCAAGATGTTTCTTCCATTATAGTATAGCTAGTACAAATAACTGCTCATATTCTACATATTCAATTGTGGTGACTTTCCATCACATAGCAGTGTGATGGTTACACTGCATACGAATTTTGTCTTACGTGTTCGTACGAACAAATCAAATATATGTAAACATATGTGAGTGCTTACAGTTGCTGAGAATCATTCGCGCGACCTCTTGTCTTTCTCATGCGAATATTTGATGAAACAAAATATTTTGTTTGAAATTCATGCGTTCGTACAAAATCGAAGATGTAAATAGTTAAATTAAAAGGTGTGTCTTGTTTTTACGTAATTTTAAGTTTTAAAATAGAAATAAATTTGAAAACATATGCTATTTTTAGGAAATGAATTGTGATTTGCTAATTTCTATGTTTGAGGAACAGATAAGCTCTCCATTTTTATACCTTGAAGAATAAAAATCACGCACCCAAATTCATCTTTTGTTATTTGAAATTAATAAACAACTTTTTAACGATTTTCGCAATAAATATAGATATATAGTCATCTTCACTATCATTTTTTTTTTCAAAAGAAACAAAACAGAACAGTCAATTCGCAACCAGTGTAACCGCAACATGTAATATGTTTGCATGAGAAAACATACGTACGAACACGCAAGATAAAATTCGCATTCAATGCAACTGCAGTCTAACATGATCCTAATTTGATAATGTTGTGATTTCACAGAAACAATTATACATACAACTTTATAATTACTTAACCGAGTTACCGAGTACGTCTTAATACCCCTAAAGGTGCATCCACACCAAAGCAAACACTTGCGAACGAACAAACATTCGCAGGTAATGGTACCTGCCACAGTTCGTTCATTCGCAAGCGTTCACTTTGGTGTGAATGTATCTTAAAATAAACTATTAACTACAACCCGGTTAGGGACTTTAACGAGAAATTTTTTTGACAGCCTAAGAAATTTGACAAGGGAAGTATTCTATCATATTTTTTGCTTATAAACTGTTTGACAATATTGGCGATAGTGACGCTTAATATTTAACTAATTACTAATAATGAATATTCCAACAAAAGAATCTAATTCACTTGGAAATTTGAATAAGTTGTCGCTTGAGGACTTATTGTCTGCTAAACGGCGCTTTGAGAATATATTGACCAGCGAAAGTCAATTGCAAACACTTTCAGATAAAGGACAAAAAATGGAAATTGCATTAGACTGTGTGCTGAAGGAATTGCAACTGCGAGAACTTCAAAATTCCATTGAATCTAATTTTTCACATCTATTTATTGAACCAAAGCGTATAAATACGTATATGGTTTGGGAATGTAAGCTGTCGAGGAGAAATATCGTAGTGAAAGAAGATGTGACTGATAGTGACGATGATGATGATAAGTGGGATGACATAAAACGCGAAGGTTCGCAAAAGGTAAAAATAGTACAAAGATAATGTATTGCTAGTAAAAATGAATAGTTTCCAGATTCGACAAAACTTGGAGACTTTTCTAGATTTGATAAAAAGTTATTTGAAAAGGAACTAAAGGTGTTTAAACTTGATAAGTGTGATCCTTCTAACGCACAATTTCGCAAAAAGAGACGTAATTCTAAAAGTCACAAAGATTGGGAAAATACTGCAGCTACTCCCCCAATAGCTGAAAAGTCTTTACAATATTTGTCGCTATCGGAATCTTGTGTGCTTCAAGCTGAAAATATTAAAAAAATGCAGCGTATAATGGAAGAAGCAGCTACTGAACGCTTGATAAGCAAACTGGAACGTAAAGTCATAAGTGATGTCTGTCATCCCATCGAGGAAGAGTTTGCACAAAATCCAATGAATGAAACATATCCAGCTATAAATATTGAAGGCGAACTTATCATGGACGACGATGATACGTGTCATCCAACCGAGGAAGAATTTGAACAAAATTCAATAAATGAAGCATATTCAGCTATAAACATTGATGGTAAACTAATCATGGACGACGATGGGTAAAACTACAATTATGCTCGTCAAAAATTTAATTTTAATCATTTTCAGAACAGCAGTTTTACAATAATATAATACACAAATTTAAAAATTAAATATAATAATATACATATTATCACTACAATGGAAAACTTACATGCAAAAAATTTATGTAAAATTTAAAATAAAAATAATATAAAATATATTATTTTATATTAATATATGAAACATATAATATAATATATATTTAATAATATTTATATATGAAAATATGTTTGCACACGAATAATTTACTTATGAATTCGTTTGCAATATATATATATATATATATATTTTATATTATATATTACTGTTTTGATTATTATTATTTTATAATATTATAACCACATATATTATATTATATTTATTTGAATTTTACATAATATATAATAATACATATATATATATATATATATATATATATATATATATATATTTATTATATTATATATATATATATATATATATATATATTTTATATATTTTTATATCATCTTATATATATATATGATTCATATATATATATATATGTATATATATGAATCTTATATTATATGTATATATATAATCATATATATATATATATGTATATATATGAATCATATATATATATATGTATATATATGAATCATATATATATATATGTATATATATGAATCATATATATATATATATATATTTAATATTTATATTAAATAATAAATAAAATAATAAATGCATTTAGCAAGTAATAGTGATAATAGTAAAAATCCAATTGAAATGTTCATAATGAAATTATCAGTTTTTTGCAGTTGTGAAAAAATTCATGTTTCTATTAAACTTTACTTGTTATTCATACTAATATTTTTTAAATAAACGAGTATTTTGAATTATTGGGCAAACACTTTGCTCTATAGAACAAAAAATGTCTTTTGTTGTAGAGAAACTCTTTAACAAATTACAAAAACGCTCTACTAGAACCTTATTGTAGTAGTGGAACAGAGGCACAGATCGAATTGATGAGTAAAGTTAGGAGTAAGTTTCGGGAGTAAGGTAATAATGATGGCAGAGTATATAGGGTAGGATAGGGAAGTCTAACCTACAGCACGTTTCAGAAACCTTGTCACCTTATGGCAAAGTTATGACAAAATAACCTTATAAATCGGGTTACGAAGTTCGTGTGAAAGTCCACCAAGAAAGATAAATACCTATCAAGAATTTTAGAGTTAGTCTTACTGATTTCAACAAACAATCTCTGTTATTAAAATATATCGAAGTAAATTAATCACATGTTAATATTAAAATATTAAATAATGCACTGAATTATAAAATCGCAAATAAGTGTTTGTATCACACATTTAATATTAAATCGATCTTTAGGATTTCCAGCGTAACCTAACCTAAACTGCGGTGAGGAAAAGTTGGACTTTTCAACTAAAATTTTGAATTCAGGAAATTATCTATTATTTTTTTGCTGTGCTTCGAAAGAACTAAATATTTTCTTATAAAATCGGCGAGCAATTTGTAGAAAATAATAAATTCAATATTAGCACGAGAATTTTCTCTCTAATACTACAGAAGATCCACTTATACCATCTCCGCTAAGACGCTAATTTTAATGTATATGTGAGAAGTGGGTCGAACAATACAAAAATTGGATCATTATTGATTGAATGTACGTGATCTTTTCAATTGAATTCAAATCTTAAATGTTTGAATGGAATGGAAAGGAATAGAACACCTCATTTGTATAATGACGTGTAGTATGCTCAAGTGGTACTATGGTTAATGCATCTAGGAACTTATCAGGCAAATAAGTAAATGAATGGTTTAAGGCTGTTTTTTTTTGCTGAAATTGGACGCTCATCTCTTATTAATGAGATGATCAATGCTAACACTTTCGTTCTTAAACTGAGATATAGTTTAATGTTTTTAATTGAAAACACCCGTACTTTTAACAGGGAATTGACTATATTTTTCAAGCCGACTATGTACCATTTTTTTTTGCCCAGCTTTGACCTGGGCCAGGAGGAGATCAGTGGGTCGGGAATTGCTAGCACCTTCCGACATTAGGAGGTTCTCAACAACCGACATTTTGGCCTTCATTCGAAAGGCGGAATGTCTTTTGTTCAGTTAGGGTCTGTTGTAGCACAAAAGATCAATCATGGTCGCGGTGCTCTGCTCAAATGGGAGCTAATACCCTGTTCTTTCTTATCTTATCTTATGTACCATTTTTTAATTGCGATTTGATTGCTGCAAATTATAGATTAATATTCAATCCGTTGCAGTTGAAAAGATAAGACTATGTGACTAGTTCACATTCCAAGCGTGACAGAATATTTTTGTATTTGCAGTTCACTTAATTTTTGCATTACATATCATATTGTCATAATACGCACTCGCTGGAACCGAAAGTCTTCAGCTTAGCAAAATTTTGATCATATCAATTTAAGTTATCAATTTAATGCCTGCTCTCATAAAATCTGCCATCCACACAAAACCAGCTAATATAAAGTGTTATTTAATATTTATAAAATTTAAATTTTTTCGTACTACAATGCCCACCACATATAAAATCACATTTCTATTAGTTTTATTAAAAACTTTATTATCGCAGCCACTCCAGGTTTTCAATTGAAATTATATTATAAATCCTTTATTTTAATTAAACTAAATCTGCACTACTCAAATTCGTTAAATTAAGAGTTGCCAACATTCATCCGTTATATCAGAACCAGAGTAAAACATTAACCTTTAATCCTTGCTTTCAGCTTTGATTTTTCAATTATCATGAAATTAGGCTAATGGTTTCTCTGTAGTTTGGAGCAGAAAACGTGTGATGCATTGATTCAAGCTTTGGACCTACTTCAAAGATGACTTATTGTACGTATGCATGACCAATAGGAACTGATGGACATCGTGCTGCTCGGCGCTCAAAGAAAATAGAAAAGTGCATCTGCTCTGTTACAGTTCGGGTTAATTTTTGATTCACTCCCCGACATCTCCAACATAGAATTATAAATACAAAAACCTGCGTTTACCAATGCTTCCGATCGGTTGTAAAACTTCAACTTTCAACTTGAACCCTTAAAATAGCGAGGAGTGTGGAAACAAATAGAAGAATCCTGCCTTCTTCCACATCACTTCACTGTTTATTCAAATAATCTAAGGTAGTAAAATTTTGCTTTAATCGATAATAACCGCAATTAGCTCCATTCTTATCAGGAAGATATTTGAGAGGCTCTGCTGGCTGCATTACATAGACCATTTATTGCTGTCAATACTGTTAATAAAATAATTTTTAAATTGGTTTATAATTAATATTTTCCTAATAATAAATACCTTTGTTAACAATGTTATTAATTCTTTTCTACAATGAATGTTTTTGTTGTTCTACATTCAACATGTACTCCACTTTTGATTCCAGCGTTATTCCTTTGGCGTTTCGCAGTTTAGCTCCACTAAAATACAAAAAAATGTTGTCAGTTCTGAAAGTCTTAAATTTTTTTATGGACTTAGAATTTCACTACCTCAATTAAATTGTAAAGGAAATTATACATAAAATATAACTCATCGAAAATTATATTATATAAACTATGATTTTATTACTTTATATTGTAAGAGTGGACTTAACGAATCAACTGAGTCGCATGCTCAAGACGTTTTGAGTTTTAAATCCCTTAAAGTAAAGTATTCCCTACTAGACATAATTGATTTTCTCTTTTATTTTATGATTTTATATGAACTTAGAATCAGTTTATAGAAATCCCTACCTATAATCAGATCATGTATACGGTCCTGACTTATTAATATAAATATAAATAAATATATATATAAATATAAATATAAATATAAATATAAATATAAATATAAATATAAATATAAATATAAATATAAATATAAATATAAATATAAATACAAATATAAATATAAATATAAATATAAATAAATATAAATATATGAATATATGAATATAAATATAAATATAATATAAATATAAATATATATATAAATATATATATAAATATAAATATAAATATATATAAATATAAATATAAATATATAATAATATATATATAAATATAAATATAAATATAAATATAAATATAAATATAAATATAAATATAAATATAAATATAAATATAAATATAAATACAAATATAAATGTATATATAATTGACGAGCTGAGGAATTTGACTTCGCGATGAGGAGACTCGGTCACCTCTATAACCCAATTATAGAGGAGACATGAAATTAACGATAGTACGATAATAAGCTTTTTAATGTAACCTTTCCGGAAAATCCTGAAAGCAGACCTAATTTTTTGGTCGTAAAAGTAAAGTCTCTGCCTAAACAGATGTTAAGCTGCTCAAATGATATTTTCGGTTTTTTACTTGCAGTTTGCAATAGAATTATCGCATATGGCTAAGTCACCGGATTTTAATTTTAACCAGAAACAAAACAAAAGAAGTCCGTTAGCCGAGACTTACTTCGTAGTGAAAGCAAACAAACAGATTTGAAATAAATACATACTTATCTTCCAATCCTTGTTGATGTAAAACTGACCGGAACTGGAAGCAATAAAACTACTCGATGCGTTCAATGCCTTTTTGTTTATTTTTCTGGTTATTCTGAAAATATAGTGTTCCAAATTAACTTGCATATTCTCAAAACCAAATCTTCATATTATTGTTGTTGTTGTTTTAAAAACAATTGGAAACCAATTGTTGCCGAGCAATTTTTTTAGTTAATCACCAACATCTGCAGCTAGAGTCAGTAATTCTTGGTCAACATTAGGATTCAAAACGGATTGTAAATAAGCGAGACCTTAACTCATTAAGCGGTTATTCACCCATGGAACTATATATTTTTCTTGATTGGGACAGCGTATTTTTCTGGGTTAATAATAGTCGAAGCTGATTATTTCCAAAAAATACTTCTAGTGATAGATGAGTAATTCGTTAGGTGGGCTTGAACACTTTTATAATGTATTCGTAAGGCAACCAATTAGCAGCGTTTACACTAAACGCCTTTATCTGGAGCAACGGAATTATAACAAAATTAATATGTACATATGTATGTATGTATATATAGAAATATTAATAATTATATGTACCTTAATGTGTAGCGTCTTTAATTTCGCATTTTAAATAAATTGCACTGAACTGACCGCATCAGTCGATCGTTGAATGACGTCATTTGATTGCTGCTTCTTAATTTCGAACAATATGGACGCTTTTATTTCTAACTATTCACAAAGCATTATAGACTTCTAAATATTTATTTTAGGACTCACTTATCAATAAATTTGGTTTACAAAATATGAAATTTAATAATTAATATGTTTGCCACTTGGTTTCTCACTTAACGGGAAAATGTGAACAAGAAAGAACAGTTATAGTTCAAATTAGCGCTGTTGCAATATTTCTCGCGAAATTAGTTTTTTCGCTTTATAAATTTAGTTGCGTTTACACAAAGCAAGTTTTTAATCGAGAAAATTTTATTATAAGAAATATTGAGCACTGAAGAAAATATTTGTGTCGTTGTTTTGTTAAATTTAAATCTATATAATACACATACATATGTAGTAAATATACAATATATATTTACTATAAAAACAGGAAATTGTGGTGATTTATAAATGTTTTTTTTAAGAATTTTTATACCATCGATTTTATATAAAACTTTTTTTTAACATATTCCAGAAAATCCATTTTACAATGCACATGTAATTGTAAATTTGATAGTAATTTTGCTAATTTAACAAAAACAAGTTGAAGACCTTCAAGAAAAGGTCTTGAATGTACAATAGACCTTTTCGGTGGCTCGCAAGTATGGCAATAAACAGCAAGTTGCTGGCCTATACTGGCTGAAATGTGCACAAAAAACAACACTATTTTCTCTACTATTTTCTTAGCAGTAACTAATCAAAAATAAAATATAAAGCATGGAATTTTCGTTCTTTGACACAATTACAAACTAGCAATGACAAATTACGAAAAAATTATTTCGTTCTTTTAACGATGGAAATTATAAACAAAATTAGGTGTGTTTTTTTAACATTGGAATTTGAAAACTCCTTTATAAATAACTAACTTCTTTACAATTACTGATCTGTCAGTTAAATTCATAAATTTTATTAAAAAAATTACTTTATTACAAAATTTAAATTACTCATTAACACTCGCAATAGTTGTAAACAAAAAACAGCTGACTGGAAATTTCATTTTGCACCAAAAATCATTCAAAATAGATCAGTTTTCACATTTGACACCATTGTAGTGCGAGAGGCTTATATGGCGTTTACATTGGCCGAAAATGACTCATTTCAAAGTGTTTGCATTCGTTGTATGTCATTTGTTCTCATTTCAAACAGCTGATTTTTCAACTTGCCTGTTGATTGGATTTTAGGCCGGTGCAAAAAAAATGTTGGATGAAGGTAAAATATACCTTCAAGTAGAAGTTCCAAAAAAGGGTTGCATCGTATTCAAGGAAATCCAACCACCAAACATTTGTTTACCTTTTTATGTAAATATGTCAAAAATAGATTTCTCAAACTGTCAAAATGCCATGAAAAGCTTTTATTTGCATTTGGAACAAGTTTGGAACTCATTCTCATCTCGTTGGAACTCATTTATACAGAATGAGATCCCATGGATTTCAGTTGCGCTTGAAATTTTGTATGCAAAAATGAGTCATTTGCTTCTCATTTTTGATTTTTAACCAAACTGAGTCATTTGAGGCCAATGTACATGCCATGTTATTCGTTAAGAACTTTCAGAAAAGTGAGCTTATTTTTGCGAATTTTGTTTTTGCTTTGCGTGTTAATTTTTGAGCGACACGTGTTCTATTGGAGCATTCAAAACAAAAGAATACACCTATTAAAATTACCTGTGATGTATAAGTGGACTATTATATTGTATATGCAACTCAAGGTAGAGAAAATACTGTTGTTATTTTGCGTACATTTTTGCCAGTATAGGCCAGTAACTTACTGTTTTTTGCCATACTTGCGAGCCACCGAAAAGTACTATTGTTGACCTGAACTACCGCGCCGTCAATGCAGCATTTTCCAATTAAAAAAAACAAGTGAAGTAAATCCGTCTTGTGACAAATAAGGAAAAAACAAAGTACTTTTTGTCATTAAACAAATTCCCTGAGCGCATTGAGACTCACGTCACTGTTGGCAACTAGAATTTCGAAGTTTGGAAAGACTTTGTTTATTTGAGATGCAGTATAAACACAAAAATGACGTCAACATAGAAATTCAACAAAGAATCACATTTGGCAACAGCTGTTACTTCGCGATAGGTAGGTAATTGAGATATAAAGCGTTTTCTCGACAAACAAAAATCACGCTCCACAAGACTCTTAGCCTTTATAATAACCAACTGTGATGAGAGAGCGTTATAGTCCGACTTAGATAGTATTGTACTAACGACTTAGATAGTACAATGAACTGTGTGAGCTGTACTGTGACATTGACATAGTTAAAAATTCATAGCTTAAATCACTAGCTTGGTCATGTCGTGCAAATGGAGAAATATGCTCACGTAGGTGGAAAACGCGATAGTGGATATCCCCTTCTTCGTAAAATACCGTGTGATGAACAATATGAAGGCGCTCAGTGCTACCAAGTGGAGACAGTAAGTCACTGCTGAAGCTAACTGACGGAGACCAGTGGACGCGACCATAGACGTTTGTATAGGTCAACTAAGTAAATACTGCATAATGGTATTTGTCGACTTATCGGCTTGTCACTTTGACATCAAAATCTATACATTTTAAATGGTCGTATAATTCTGTTTCAGCAGTAATGCTGTAATCTACTCGTGAAGAAAACAAGGAATAGAAACGTTTTATTTATGTAAATAATATCGACAGATTTTATAATATACACAACATACATGTGTATATCTCTTGAATGCAAACATAAATGCAACACATTTTAGACTTCAAAATCTGAAATACTTTACTAGGATTGCAGCTGTAGTGAACGCTGAAAAAAGAAATAATAGTAGTAAAAACATAATTTCGTATGGAGAAATTATTTTGCAAAATAATGCGGAAAAAACAAAAAGTCCTAGCTCACATTTTGAATTTTGAAATCACACAACAGGAACAGGAAAAGGTATTAAAAATATTCTTGTAGCTGCACACCTCCAAACAATGGCAAACATACTTCGATTTCACCGAAATCCTGTGCTTCACATATTAAACTGAACTGAACTGAACTAATAAAATGCAAAGCAACATGCGACAATGAATGTGGAAAATGCTTGCTTGCCTCTCGCACGACACGCAGCCCCCTCAGCGCCCCTCTTGTTCACGTGGTTCTCGTAGCCAGGCAGTCAGGCGGTAGGTACTCTTAGAATTCGTCGTGCTTGTTATTGCATTAAAACCGATAAAACCTATAAAATATAAGAGCTGGAGGGAAACGTATAAAAATGGCATAAAATTTGTGGCGAAATCTTCTAACACGTCAATGCTGCTGAAATGCTGAAATTCCTTCACACATACACGCCTTCAAACATTAGCACAAACATATTTCATGCAAATACACAATCAAGCATGCATGCAAGCATGCTTGTGAGTCTGTTTAGGTGATTGCATGTTGCATGTTGCATTCTTCATGTTTAACTTTACTGTTGGTTTTTATGCAACAATGTTGATGTTGTTGTAGTTGTTGTTATTATTATTTTATAATTTCGTACCGTTAGCATTTATGTGCAGCCCATAAATAATTGATAAGCAGCAACAGCAAAGGTGAAGGGGGTGTCGTGTGAATAAAACATATAATATGCTACATGAAAAAGGAGTAGAATATGCCAAAGAATTGATACAATGATCAGCATATATGATTTATATATGTGTGCTACGATTTCTTGCTAACAAAAGGAGAGCAAGTGTTTTATATTCGTTTTATATGCGTTCACACTGGCCGAAAATGACTCATTTCAAATGAGTCATTTGAAAGTGTTTACATTCGTTGTATGTCATTTGTTCTCATTTCAAACAGCTGATTTTTCAACTTGCCTGTTGATTGGATTTTAGGCTTGTGCCAAAAAAATGCTGTATGGAGGCAAAATATACCTTAAAACCTTACAATATGAACTGAAAACTTATTTTAAGCTTCGATTAATTTATTTTTGGGAAGTAGAAATTCCAAAAATAGGTGCATCGTTTTCAAGGAAATGCAACCATCAAATATTTGTTCACCTTTTGTTTTGTGAGTATGTCAAAAACAGTTTTCTCAAGCTGTCAAGCCGTGCAAAGCAGGGGGAAAAATATTCCAAAGATACAATGGCCCGTACCATTTGCATGCCCGAATCATGCACGACCCAAATTAGTCATACATGCCTACGGACTAAAAAGTCTCCTACATTCTCAGCTCAAACTCCTGTAAATCCCTACAGTACGATCAATTAAGGTATGTCTTCACAGGGCAGGTTAGAAGAGCACTTTCACTCCGATTGTGTACTAAGTATTTCGTCCGTTCTAACAGATTCCAGAACTTTATTGATCATCAGTTTTTATATCAATTGTTCTTTGAAAGCCTCATGTACCGCATATTAGCTACGCACATGATGTGTACCAATTCATATATATGAATTCATCATTTTTATTCCTATCTGTGCTTTGATCCCCCAAACTTAGTTGTCCTATCGACATGCTGTAGCGCTCACTTAGAAGAAAAATCTTCATTTATATAGAAAATATTATGAACATTGATTTATGCAAAAGCTCATAATGTATACGTTATGCTCATGCACTTATTCACAATATGGGAATGTGTAAATATGCACAGGCGTCTATGCATTCATATATGAAATATGTTTAGGAAGGACTTTCCTAACCAATGTGTACTGCTTCGAAAGTGTTAAATTAGGTTATTTAAAATGTGTGAAAATTCACAAACATTTCATCCATTACTTCTTTCGTTTTTTGCTTTTTAATTTTTTTTCAAAATATTCAGTTTTTCCATGTTTTGTGTGATCAAAGGATTTTCAGTGGAAGTGACTATCAAGCGGATTGTAATAGAAAATAAATTGCATATTGTCGCCCACAATGCTGCTTCGGAAAACATTTTATTCATTAAACGATTTATTAATGTTTTTAAGTTTCAAACATCAAATTAATATAAATACTTACTTACTTACTTACTTACTTACTTACTGATGTCCTTTTCTCCTAAGTGGAGCATAGAACCTCAAATAAATCTAAATAAACACATTAAAAAAATATTAATATATTCATCGGTCCTACAGAATTCAACATTGTTATTATTCCTATGAAGTTAAAGTAACAATAATGGGTGACATGGGTCCACAACAATGATGCTGTCGATTAGCAATTCATCCGGTTCACACTGTG